GATGGATTCAATGCCGCCTAGGAGACAAACGACATCACTCTAAGCCAAAATAAGTGAAGATACAAAGTGTGGATTTAATAATAAATAAGTTTTTTATATTTCATACGAGATGTAGACATGGCTACGATCGTGACCTGACACTACTAATGTTCTTGGTACATTCTCAGACGTGTATGCTAAGGACAAGGTGGGATCCTCTAGTTCAACTGGATAATGTTACCAAGTCGCGAAATTAAGGTCAAACAACTTCCATTAAACGAAAGAGAACCGCGAACATACAAAATGCCATACTATCCTGGCTTTTATATCTTCGATTAGAATATAAATCAGTTTATTAATAGACATCATGACTTCAGCTACTAATAATAAGAAACAGGAAGTGGATGAAAGTCAGGACAGCATAAAACAATGAACGTAAGAGGGATAACTTAAATTTCAAAAATATATTATAAATCCCAAATTAATTTCTGTAACAGACTCAAATCCCTTGCTTCCAGTCAAGGATATCGGACCAGTTTATCTCTGACTGCCTTTTAATTAGACCCGAACACCGTTGACAGATATTTCGATTGCAATCTTTACGTTCGCATTCATTAAAATCATCTCAAAGCTTTTATTTAGCCTCTTCCTTCCCTCCAACTTGAAATGTAAGTTTCCTTATAGTAGCCAATGTATACACTTACGTTCGAGCCTCAAAATAATGACAGTGAGGGATTTAATAACAAAACTAAACACTGAGACATTTAATAAAACTACTTACATTGCGGCCCCACTTTCTATGCGCTTCTAGTTCATCGATGCCTTTTCGATCCTCCAATGCTGAATGCACGAGGTAAAGAGATTTCTCGACAATGAAGCCACTAAAAAGAAACTTGGTTTCACCGAGGTCCTTAAGAGTATGGAAATGGCTCCAGTTCTGCAGTAGCTGAACATCAAGCAGCTGGAATCGAATACAATTCCTCAAGAGGCTCAGACATATACAATCATTTTTTTCAATTTCAAGTAATAGTTCTTCATGTCCCAACTGCATCTCATGAAGACGGTTGGCTTTATCAGTGTGCCATTTTTCAATCAAATTAAGAAGTTCGAATTCGCCTTGAGACAAAGCAAGGTCATTTGAACAAAGGAGATCTAGTAAACAGTCCAAAGGCAAGTGATAAATCACGTCCTTGTTTTTAAAACAGCTATAAAGATGAAAAGTAAAGATAATATAGTATCAATACCTAAATCAGTGTAAAATTTAAATGAAATGTATCTTTGAAATATATATTATATTGTTATAGTGTTGGTCCGACCTAGTGGAAAGTATCTTGTCCTGTGTCCTCTGCCATATTATTAGTGATTTTTATCCTCGGATCAATGACTATGTATATTACCAAGCATTTCGCCGGCATAGTCAGTGAGAAGCGTCAATACTAGCACAGAATTACCACTTATCAAAGTGAGACCTCGCCTAGGTCTCGTCAGCATTTCCAGCGAGACTTGAGGCCTGGTACTGTAGCGTAGTCTCAACAAGGTAACCACCACGCAAGACTGCCACGAGTGTCTCTGCGTTGCGGGGCAGAAAGGATTACAAAGAAA